GGGGAGCAGGTAACACCTTCCAGATTCCCTCTGCAAGGCAAGATATATTTCCTCTGGAAAAAAATACGTAAGCACAAGAAACCTCATTCTCACAGAGAAGCAGCTCGTCCCTTTTCCTCCAACTTCAAAAGGCAACACAAGTAGGTATTTTATGTAAATGTGGACATTAGACACAAAAAATAGAACAGAAAACATCAAATTCATTTTTCATAGGCAGCTCAACTTCCACTGGAACAGCTGCAGATGAAAGTAGTAGCTACAAATTAATATATCATAAGGTCTACCAAAGGAACTGATTGTTTCAAATGCCAAAACTAAGACCAAAGACTAAATTATTTTCATTTAAAAAAACATAGAGAGGAACTGTTTTCATGTCCTGAGTTATGTGTTTAAGAGGAACGTAAGTTTAGCTTGCCAGCTTACGACAAAAGTTAAAAACAATTTCTAAAACATTTCTGAATCATTTCTAAACATGATTTAGGAGGGAAAAATGTAAACAATACAAAATCCCTGCCTTTTTTTAAACTGCTTTTACAGTTAAAACTCCTCGAGTGTATTTTCCTGCAGGAGACGCCTGGAATGAAGAACCTGCTTCCAAAGCGCTCATCCTGAAACACAGGGAAATCTCCTGACTCCTTGCAACTATTAAATACAGCCACTGGAGTTTATCAGAGACACCCGCGTGACAGAAATACCACAGTGGCTGAAGATCAGGCCTAAATTTCATTATCAAGCATCTGGTGGATTGCTACAAAGGGGCTGTCACAGTAGCTGTCAACACAGTTGATAAAAACACTTCCTTTTAATCCAGTAATCTCATGCCTTTACCTTAATAGGAATAACTCTTCCTGAAAATGTGAACGCATAGAAACCTTACAACGGATGTAACTTAAAGGTGCCCAAGTATCTTAAACAGAATTACTAGCAACTTCCAACAGCAATATTTAAAACGACAAGTAGCATTTTCTTTTCAAGTTGTCTTAGCTCATCCTTATTTTTAGGCGCCGTGATCACGAATACATTTAGTAACCACTTGCCAGGAGTTTACCAGGCTTAAAAATTCCTGTGGAAAAAAGAAAGCCCGACAGATGAACAGCTCCATAAATTGAAACTCGACATAATCCCAACGTAGCCCAGCACGGAGGAACGGCACTGACTGGCACTGGCACCCGCCGAAGCGCCGGGCAGGCCGGGGTGAAGCCGCTGAAGGTCGGAGTTACCGAGCCGGTGCCGCAGACACGCCGCTACCTCCTGCCACCGCGAAGCTCACCTCCCAGTCCCAGCCCAGCAACCACCACCCAGTGCAGAGAGACGGGGCCCAAAACCACTCTGGAGATCTTCAGCCTAGTCCCCCTTTCCCTAGATTATAACCGCCAGCTCAGCAGATGCTCATCAAACCGTTTTTAAATACCTCTGCTGCTGGCGACTTCACAACACCCCGAGCAGTCCACCACAGTGCTCACTGCTGGAGTATTTCCCCCAGCCTGGAACTTGAATGTTTCTTGCTACAGTTTGTGACTAATATTTCTTATGCAATTCAATGTGGCTATGCAAAGGATACTCCCATCTGCTCTGCTGCAAAATTTTATGTATCCGAAGACCGTATCTTCCATTTCTGCCTGTCTCCTTTGGATTTACCCAAAAGCAATGGCCGTTTCAAGACAATACATGGACGGACTTAATTATTAAATACTATTTCGACATTCTTTTAAATCAACCATCCGTAAAAGTACTGTGCAGGCAGGTATTGGCCTTTCAGATATTCTGCTTTTTGGTTCAAGCACAGTCTCTTACTGTTCTCCTATAAGTAGCTGTTTCAAACATATGTGCTACGGCCTATTATTCATCTCTGTCACGCTGTCATCAATGGTTTCTTTCCATCTCTGTCGCTTGGATTTTGTTGTTTACTGTAAAACAGCAGCTGATTTGGACCAAAATTTGACAGTGAAAGGAAAAGTCATGGCATCAGTTTGAATTTTCGTTTTTTTTTACCCCCTCCGACAACTTAAGCTGCACAGCATCTGATGAACCTACGCTGCGACTACCGGGTCTTGCCACGCCTGATGAGCAGTCAGCAAAGCAATGCTGCCTTGAACAGGCTGGTGGCAAACCCAAGGATTGCATGCAATCAGTGACATTCAAAACCCTGGACTCTCAATTGACCCAAGTGCTTTGCTAAAACAACAGACTCTGGTTTTAATTAAATTAGAGAAGTCAGTAAACAGAGTATGAAGTGGCACATCTAAGAACAAAAAAGTAGCAATCATCTCATTAGATATGAAGATTTTTGTGTTCGTTTCAGCACGACAGGTGGTAACACAGCGTGGCTATCTGTGTTACTGAAACAAAGGCGTGCTGAGCATGGGAAGCAATCCTGTGCATGGCACAGCGCACTGCGGGGATAGGAAAGAGATAGTACGCTGAAGTTTTGATGCACTGTACCAAAAACTTGAGTGCAAAGTATACAGAACAAGCTTAATTCCTGTGTCTATTAACGAATGTGCATGTATTTATGCATACAGGAATCCTACTAGTAAAATAAAGTTCAAAGAAGTGCAGTAGTAAATTTTAACTAAACACTTATTTGCAAATATTCCTTGTAATATGCTCGTACACACACCTTTCTCTGTTTCCCCTCTTCCCCCGTAGCTACAACTCTATCTCAGCCAGAATATTTTAATCCACTGTTAACTACCTACCTGGAAGCAAATCATCACATGGAGAGGAGCTGCCTGGGCTGTCTCTGCCATGAAGGTGAAGAGGTACCTTCGAAGGGACTGGCCCCTCTGCTGCACGCAGAGGGGGCTTAGAGGTCTAACTGCCAGCTCGGTGGGTTTCTTTCCCCTTTGTTTCACACTACCAGATGTATTTCATGTAGAGAAACGAACTCACAAACATTCCAGATACAGTTAAAAATTAGCTCACTTAATTTGGCTTATGGCACAGAAATACTCAATCTGTAGAAAGATGTGCTTTGCCAGAGTGACACAAAATGGAATGCTCCCAGTTATTTCTACTGAGAGGATGCGGTAGCTTTAAAAGACAGAAATTGTTATTAAATTTTTCCTGGTTTTCTTCAATAAAAGTTTATAGCGGTGAAAATAAATGGACCAGATGGACAAAAAGGTATTTTACAATGCAGCTCCCTGTTTTTGGAAACCACATTAACTTCAACGGGAAAAATGAAAAGCACTCAAATCAATTCAGAAGCATTCACAAATGAGCTGGAGTAATGAAAATGAACTTGTAAATTAGAGATGAACAATCCCCTTTAGCACTTCTGCAGATATTTATCAACACCAGAAAGACATGAAAACTGGTTTTGTTTTTAACTTTAAATACTATTCAGATATTCTATCGGTACTGACGTTATTCAGTAAGAATCAAAGATCTTATCAACACATCCTGTTTCTGTTTCTTCAGGACGTAAATGTTCAGTGTGGGAAAAAGGCAAGACTATTTTTAAGGATCAGAAAATCAAAGCCTCTACCTGCGGATCTCTGCATTACACTTTGTATTACTCTACATTTTCAGAGTGAAGGAGGATCCTTTGGTGCTTTAAAGAAAAAATGGTGGTGAGGGAAAGACTCTTTCTATACTTCTGCCCTTTCATTTTTAGGGCCATAATTCCTCAGTTTAAAAAAAAAGAACGAGGCCAAATCCCCACACAAATGCACACTGAGAGGTCATTTGGGAGTATTGTGAAGGTAACATAAGGAATACTCATCATCTTTACATCAGGGAGAAGAGTCATCGCAATATTGTTCACACCACAGTAATTGCTGTGTGACTGTTTAACTGACATTAATATTGTCCACACACAGCCCTTCCCAATCACGTCTCAAACTCTTGAATGATTCTGCAAAGCACAGAGGTGCTCCCCTGTTTGAAAGGATGCCAGGTAATGTACGCTGTGGGGTTTTCCAAAGCACCTGCAACATGACTCTCGAGACAGTTGGAGTTCTTGAACCAAAACCACTTTCAAAAGTAAAAAAAAAAATTAAAAAAAAAAAAAAAAAAAAAAAAAAAAAAGGAACCTGAGGGGCTAGGGGCTTCTGATGTTCCTCATCAGCTAATCTCAAATGGCTCTTCATTTAAAACAGCAGGTGCTTTGCAAGCTGCAGCCACACAGAAGTGTGCATCCACAGCCAAGGGGTATAACTCAAAAGATGGCCGAATCTCCTAACTCGTATTTATTAAGAAAGGATTTTATTTGGCAGTTAAGGAGACTTCAGAAGCCAAGATTAAAGTTACGGTGTATTTTTATAACGAGAGTAAGAACTATGGTTCAGGATTTTATATAAGTAAACACTGACAACTTTATAGCAAGGCAGCTACCAGTAAACACAGAAGAGATTTCTCCAGGCAAATAGTAAATAAACTGTTTTTTCCTTATACTTTCATCACCGTACAGATAAAAGCATTTAACACACTTAATAAATGTCACAAACATAAAATATTGCACAAAAGAATGCTAAATAATGACAAAGCTGTAATTATGAGCAAAAACCATGAGGATTAGAAACATTTGCAGCCCGTCTCTTCATTACCAGGCTGATGGAATCTCAGATTAAAATTCCCTTTTATTTCTTCCTTGGTAATACCACTGAAAATATTCCAGAACATACAACTCCATGTCAACATATGATAACCACTAGTTTTTGAGGTCATATGCAAAACATAATTTATCCACACAGGAATAAATTTTATGTATAGACCCCTACTCCAAAAATTCAGTTCTCAGAGTGACGCCACCCTTAATCTGTGGTGGACTCCAAGAGCCCCAAAACAGGCCACTAAAACACTGCCCTGCAATCTCCAAAGACAATTTTTAAATAATTACTTGCATCACAGAAGGAAAAAAAAAAAAAAAAAAAAAAAAGAAAAAAACACCCTAGCTGCCGCATTGTGTTTTACTGTTTCCAAGCAACACTGTTGTTTCAGATCAAACATGAAACAGCCATCTCAGAAAGCTACAGTGCTTTTCCCTCTATACTCACTTATTCTGCATCATGTTCATTATAACCCAGTCGAAGGGATAGACGTTCTTCCCAATGAGATTCTTGAACATGATGAATGTTTCCATCAGAAAATCCTAAAAGATGAGAAAATATTTGGAAAAGATCACCCTTCTAGACCAAAAAAATACAAGTGATAGTGTCAGTTATTAATGATTAGATTCAAAAGGTGCATTACTGTTCTGCTTCATAAAAAAGCCATTACTCATATATAGCATACATAAATTCTACTAAGGCATGTTTATATATTATGTACATAAATCCTACAATAATTCTATTTAAACTTTTCAGAAACGATAGCAATAGTAATCCTACATCGCAAACAACCCACGGTGTGATTACTCAGGTGCAAGCACTGGTTTGCCAGTTATCCAAAGGCAGTTTCTGCTGAAAAAAATTAATTTCTTTTCTATATCACAAAGTCGTACAGTCCCCCTCTTGTGCAGCTGGTATTGCAGCATACACATTGCGACACATGCCTGGTGTGCACTGAAAAGTTGTTAAAGCATACTGGTACACAGAAAGAGAAAAAACCTAAGACATTAATTTTAATCTTAAAATTATGCTAAAAATACTCCCTGGATTCAGTTGATGAGTTTTCTCTCCCCTTGCGAATACCCTCCTGAAATTTTCTCTTGCCTGAAATCAAGATTATCTGTTTATTAAAAAAAAAAATAAATATATGCTCTAGCTCCAAACTGCATTCAGGTAAGCGTGGTGGTGCACATTATCCCGACCTGGGGTAGACGACAGCAACTCTTTGGCCATCCTGAAAATAGGAGAGACTCTCTCCCCCAGAGGGAGTAGCAGTAATTGCTTCTGCAAGTGAAAACCTGACCCAGAACAAAGTTAATTTAGTAGCATAAACCAATTTATTTCTACACAGATATAAACACACATCTCTTTGGAACAGAAACCTCGTGCACTTTACAATGTAAATCATCTTCTACAATTTGGGAATCTATAATCGCTATCTAACAATTTGAGTAATATCAAATGCTTGGAGAAAGATAAAGGGGGGGAAAAAGAACTTAATGCAAAAAGTCCTTGATCCACTTCATGCAGAGATAAAAATGAACTTTTATTCCAAGGTTAGAATATTTTCCCTTTGCTACAGCTTCTCAGTAATGGTATTTATCTCGTCTATCTTTAAAATGTCAAATGCCTACAAAAAAACCCCCAGAATGTTACATTCACTGGACTTCTAACTAAGACTGGTTTTTATGTAACCTTTTCAGTGAGAAACAAATATGAAGTTACTGCTCTCATAAGTATTTCTTCATGTATGGGAGCCAGCCTCTTTATTGCATTTTATCTTTGGATTCGTTGTTCTGTTAAGATGTTTTTCCTGCCTCAGAAATTCACAGTCAGTGGGGAAGCAGGGAGCCGCAGAGATCCTGAGGACACAACATCGAGATCAGGAAGCAACGTGAATTTCCAGGCTCCTCAGCTCCGCCGTGTGCACGGCACAAGGGATGCTCTGGGACACTCTGCATCCCAGCAACTGGTACCCAAGGAGATGCCCAGGCCAAAGAGGGCCAACGAGCATCAGCAGCCGCAAAAGATTCATTTAAACCAAATAAATGCATAATACTAGTAAAAGAACTCCTGTTATTTCACCAAAATCACTCCCAGCAACACAACATCAGTAAAGATGTTTTGACATTAACAGGATTGAGATAAAATTTGGAACTGCTCGTGGTTAATGAGATGTTGCTGTTGCGTAAGGCAAAATTCATCCCAGACACACACTCCACTAGCTCAGTAAAATGTGTCTTCATTTAAGAAATCAAGCTGCATACTTTACTGCTCATTTTTCATGTATTTTGGTGAAAGAGTTACATAATTCCTAATAATCATGCTGCTTATTTTCCTGCCCAAGCACTGCGCAGTGCTTCATTTGAGCGCGTGGTTTTTTTCAGCTGCAGGTATCGGGTGATTTTCTTACTGACGCTGCTCCACAGCTAACTGAAACGTTTAGTGGAATTAGTGTTTCGATAACTGAAATGGTAGTGGAAGCAGCACCATGGGAAGGGTCATCACCCACCCAAGAGGGTAGATTTGAGCTCACTGTGCTTTTTGTCCCCTTAATATTTTATGAATACAGATGCATACTTTCCTGATTTCTTGTAGCAAACTCTACCTTACAGTTTATTTGTCACCGGTCTCAGCTGTTGAGCCTCTGCACTCTGCTGATCAAGCTGCACATGATGGTGGATGAATGTTCATACACTTTGTGGATGATTCGCGTTCGTTACTGACCCTGGAGGCTGTGCCGTGTATGATTTGACCTGCCTTGCCAATTCAGCTCTGCATTTTAATCTACTGATATTTACATTTTAATAAACCTCCTTTCACACAGGTACTTTAAATAATGCTCTATAAGAACTAAGCTAATTATTGATCAAATAAAAAGCTTATGATGCTTACCTGTATTTCATGTATTCATAATTTTGCTCTCTCTTGTCCATTTTATCTTTCTTACAGAAAAGCAAATGGGTTATATGAATTAACCTCATATTATGAGCAAAACCCAGAGTTTTTTTGGGGGTTTGGGGGTGGAGAGGGAAGCTATCAGTTCACAATGTGCTGCTGTAGATACAAGACTGGTCTTATTTCAGCATATCTAGAAGCAGAACAAATTGTTCTGAACATTAAGGAATGATAAAAAACTGTACTAAAGGAGCAAGGGCTACAACTCCTGATCCCTCTCCAACTACAAATACAAATCCTATTTAATATCCCAATGAAACAAAATTCACAATAGATAGGACCCCTTCAAAATTCCCATCCAATTACAGAAAGAAAGTAGAGTAAGCTCAGCCCCATAACTGGCTAGACAGTGGCTGAGGAGGGTCAGACAATTCCATCTGCCCCAGGCTGCCGAGTATCACATCCCGATACACCTGCATCACTATTCCTATTTTTCATGACCTGGATTTCAAAGAGGTTTTCCAATAAATTCTCAAGCTTAATAAAAATAACTAGCTAAAAGGTGTAGGAACTTGATATGAAAAAACTTTAGGCCAAGTTGATGAAAACTTCGGCTTTGCTGAGTCCTGTCTTATAGACACTTCAAATACACTCAGCTACAGCTTTTCAGGACAACAGTTTAACCTCCACTGAGCTCCACCGATGAAGCTGTCTGTGGAAAGTCCACTCTCCACCACTGTGGATGGCCCTGGGTGGGCTGCCTCGGTGGGGTTCCACCACCACGGGGCATCCCCTGTGACTCTCCACGCCACATCCCGCACAGAAGAGTCTGCTAAGCCATACGATCACCCGCTCACATCAATGGTTGGGCAAAGTGTGTTGTAAAAGGATGCACAACACTCACCAACGCACATACTCACATAAAAACCAAAGTCTAGGAGTGCAAAATATCAAAGAGGAAGAAGAAAATGGGGGTGCAGAAACTCTCACCTAAAACAGCCTCTGGAGTTTGTCTTTCTACATACCTCATTGACTCCGGGATGTTGTCTTGAATGTCGTTAGGGAGGAATGCTTCTGAGATACTCCACATGGCAAAACATTAACTTACATCTTTATGTCAAATAATACCACATATGTCTCTGCTGAATATAGATTGTACCAAGTAAAAAGGAGAGAGAGAGATCAGTTAGTCCCAGAAATAACTTCACTGATCTCAGATGATGTTTCATCTCAGGATGATAGTAGGATGACAGTAAGAAATTCCTCTTTGAACAGAAATAACTTAATGAACCTAAACAATATATTCTGCAGAGAGACTGGTTTTATTGCATTCCACCTCATTTTTTCTAAGATTTTTGAGGCCAAAGAAGACCATTATAATAACCTAAAACTGACACCTACATAACACAGGTCATAAAGTTTCCTCTAGCAGTTCCAACACAGGGCTTATAACTTCTGATTGAGCAAGAGCACATGCTGAAGAAAGATTTAAGGGTCTCCAATGGTGAAGAAGCAACCACAGCTTCACTTAAGTTCTCCCTTTTTCTTCTAAGTTTTTTTCAAGAAAAACCTATTCACGTCTGTTTGAATTAGCCTAGTTTCAGTTCTAAATCACTGCTTCTTTATGCCTTTGCGATTAAACTGAAAACGCTGTAATAGGAGATGCAGTTATCACCTCCATATGTAGAGAAACCAGGTTTAAATGAAAACACTTCTGGATTTAAGCTCTAATGGGTGAGCCTGCGGCACTGGCACTGGCTCAAGAAATCATCTGACTAAAAAGAAATGGAAGAAACATAAAAAGTTAAACAAAGAAGGAGAGAATTATTTTTTTTTTTTCCATCCAAACCATACAGTACCAAGGACTATACCCATACAGTACACATCAGTAGCATCCCACCACTGAAGACATAAGAAAACAAAGGCTCTGAGAGAGGAAGATGGGCAAACTTCAACCATAGCACCCATAAAGGTAAAGGAGGCAATGCTCCTGGGAGAGCTTCATGGGGCTTCAATTCTGATGGTGAAACACAAAATCGTGAACAAGATGTGGGTTTTAAATTAACAATGACATCTCATCTATGAACAAGTACTTATGAGAACAGTAACTCCTCGCTTTGGTTCTCACTGAAAAGGTTACGTAAGCTTTGCTCTTAAACGGAGAAACTGGGTTGTATCTTCATCCTTTTATCCTAAATGATGGCTCAATCAGTTTTGTTTATGTTAAAAAAAAAAAAAAAAAATTAGTCTACTAACTGTAGTTGCCTTTTATCACGGGATTAACTATATTCTGCCATTGTACCTCCACACCTTCATTTATATTATTTATACTTTAAAGTCAGTTTCAAGTTGCATCTTCTACCATTAACATATGACCCCTTCAATGTTTTGTTGCCATCAACATACATTATCATTTAATCAACAACAATATCAAAACATTTCAAAGGTACATTTTAATTAAAGATATAAAAGGTATTACAGCAACTGACCAGGTTTGGATTAGCAAATCTGCTAACACCAACAACTGTCAAGTGGCATAACAGTGGACAACAAGTGGTCAAATAGTACATGTGCTGATGGAAAATACGATTTTAACAGTACTGAACAATTTCTGCTACACAACCCAAAAACACGCAGAAAGGGACAAACATACAGCGTCAAGACAAAAGAAATAAGTGATTCTTCATATATCCCAGTGCCCTGCATGCACATAAATCAAACCCTTAAAACAAGCGATTATAAATAGACTGCTTGCCAAATTTCAAATATATAATTACTCCCTTGTTTTCACCAAGGAAGATCTGACCTGTGGAAGCACCTTTCAGAAAATTTAAACCAAAAAAAGCGAGACTTTAAAATAAACACTTTTATTACCATTAGAGTAATCACAGATTTCCTAACCTGCATTTTCCTCAACATTTTTTCATTGCATATTTTAAGAGCAAATCGCTTTTACCTTTTTCCATGCAAAACCCTGTAACCAGTTTGCCTGTTTTCAGAGCCAAATGGTTTGAACCACTTCAAAAATTACAGAAATATTTGGCTTGATTCACCATAACATTCATGTCTTTTCTGTATGATAAAACCAATCTTTTCACTCCACTAGCTGCATTTAGCTTGAGAATGTTTTGTCATTAGTGGAAAACCAAGTGCCTATCCATGTAAGTGCTCAGAGATCCTGAAGCAGACCAACTGGGAAGCAACCCCTCCTTTCAATATAGTGATGCCCATGTGCAGCTCTTTGCAGTTGGACTTTGTCTTCACCCCCTTGAGTCATCACTTTTGTAATGCCAGATCAGGTACAAATTGAGCACCACAGGATCTAGCACCTTATCTGAAAACTGGCAAGGGTCAAAGAGTTCAAATCTTGCAGAACGCAAGCAGTAATAAGAAGAACAAAAATTAAAGCCATAAAGGCAAACTGAAAAATCCAACCAAAATGAAATTACACAGAGGAAAGACTCTGGATGTTGTTACGTTGGGTTTGGAAGGAAGAAGGGAACCGAAACGAAGGTCACCCTGAAGATCAAAACACAGGCAAAAGCTGCCTAAAGCACCCAACAGAATCCCCAGCACCAGAGTGGGGAACGTGAGAGAGCTGATCAGGCTTCAGGTCATCCACTAATTGATGGATCTCAGCCAACAAGTTTGGTAGCTACTTTGCAGCATGCACTTGCCATATGGCAATGATAGTTTCAGGTCATTAAAGAGTTATCGCCTTAGCTATAAACTCTCTTCTATTATGCTCTAATTAAGTTGTGTTGTTGGCTTATTTAGGCTACCAAACGACTCTGAGAAGACAAATTTCAATTATTATTGCTTATTTAACAACTAAGGGCATCTTTAAGGTTAAAATGTTTTGTATAAAATTTAAAGTGAGCAGATCTGTAAGTAAAAGCTATTTAAACAAAGAAATCAGGACATCTGGAAGATTTAACGCTGAAAGTTCCCCTCCTCGAGAAAGTGTTTCTTTTATTCCTTCCCTCTTTAACGAAACAGATTTTTAGTAATGGCTCAGCACTACTATTTCCTAATGCCTTCTTTTAATTGCCTTAAAGCCACTGTCTCAGTGCTTGCTTTTTAAAATATTCAACAGCTCCAGAGACGAGCTGTTCCCATGTGTGGCAGGAAGGTTATTTTTTTTTCCTTTGCAAGTTCAGAAAGCTTAAGTCATAGCTCTTTATTCCTTATTTTTATATTAAATCTGTAACGTCAAACACATTTTGTTTACATTTCACAAGTGTGTTTAACAAATAGGAACAGAAAAAAAAACCAAAACGAATACAAGCTCAACTGTCTTATGAACAGATAAAACATGTCAAACTTACCACAACATCTGACCGCATCTTTCCAAAAGTCTTGATTAAATGAGCATAGTGATAGTCCTCCATTTGCCTCAAAATGGCAGTCATGCATGCAACAAAACTCCCCTATCAAAACCAAAAGTACAAATAAATCAATTATTTAAGATAGGTCAATGTAATACTTGCTGTCAAAGCATAATATTGCTAAGGAGCACCGTGTAATACAGTGGATATAATGCTATCTTTTAAATTCATTAACAGGCGTGCAAAATTCTGTCAAGAAAACAAAAAACACCTTGAAAAGTTTCTATTTACAATTTCATGGTTCTATCACCATCTTCACTGAAGATTCTGCAACATATTCTTCATATAAAAATCACTCAGGTATTAAAGGCTTTGGAAGGTAATAAACACCACTCCTAAAAATATCACACAATATCAGGATTTGCATTTGGGAGGTCGATCCTCTGCTCAAGGAAGAAATCTCTTAAAAATCATTATATTGAGCACCACAGTTAAACCTCAAGTTTTAATTTCATTGACTGGTATTTTCAGGTCTTGTGATGCTTAAAAGAAACAAAACAAAACAAAATCCAGTAGCATCCATATCTCTCTCAAACCATGGAAAAAGTAAAAAGTGCCAAGAAAAAGTTTAATCTTTCCTTCTGGCATGGGAAATTATCATAGTAACAACTGAAACCCACTTCCATGGCTACTAGATGTTCTGATCCCATCAAGGACTTCTCTGCTTGTCCATCCTCTTTCTCTGATTATCTGCTAAAAACCCTTCGACCTATTACCGTAATTGTGTCCACACCTTTTCTGCTCTTAAATGAAGAAAAAAATGCTGGAAGAAACCAGCAGAACTACTCATAAAATAAATGACTCTATATGCGGTTTGATAAAATTGTAAATTCCCCTTTCTGAGCCGTTTTCAAGGTTATTCTATACCAGGCACAGCCTGACAGAGCACTCGGGAATTTTCTCTTCTTCCTAAGCATAGTGCAGTGCTGTTATTGTTACCTTTAAGATCTGCATTACTTTCAATTTAAAATATTTATTTCTACATCAGTCCAAGTAATTGAGATCAAACACAAAATGACACCAGGTTCTCTGTTTGTGCTATGTGCCCTCTTATTTACAGTCTAATCTCCCAATCTCCACCAGATAAGCACTCCTTGAATTTGCTTTTCTCCTATGTAATAGAGTTTAGATCTAAACTCCCACACAACTGATTTTGTCCATGAGAGAGCATTATTTTTTCTACATGATGCAAAGGTACCTGATGGGAGTTCTCAGGCATATGCAAATGGCATAAATATGAACAGGAAAGGCCATCGAGCTGCTGCTCCATGACATCAAAAGAACTTTATAACAAACTGTGACAAGAATAGAAGCTGTGGCTGTACAAAGATAATGTTTACTACTGTGAAATGTAAATAAGATGGGATCATCTCAAAAATCTCAAAATGTTAATTGTCAAAACACAGTATAACAAGCACTCTACATAACAGACACTGTAAAAGGGCTTATGCCTGCAAGAAAATATTCAGTAGCTCATATTCAGTCCTAGTTCTCCTAATGATGTCATCAATCAAAGTGATGTTTCACTGCTAGTCAGAATTATAAATTTTTTAAATTGGCTGCTTAAGACTAGGCTGCAGATGTAATTCAGTCCATCACTTCATGTAAGGTTCTGTAGATGGTACATAAATGCTCAGGAGAGCTGCAGACAAACTTTGTTTTGCTTATGGTACCTTTTTATAGACGCTTACACACTTAAATAATCTTTGCAAACACATAAACATATCTTTACCTTCCTTGACACAAACACATCAACCCCACATTTGCAAACCCAGCCTTCTCCAGGTAATCCAGCAGCCAACATACAGCCTCTGATTCCTTCTAACAAAGTAGTTTTTATAACTGACTAATAGCTTTGGTCGTATTTCTGTGTTTATCTACCCGTTTGGTGAGTAATTTAAGTTAATATACACGGCGGCAACAGTCAAAAGATTAATTTCACACCTGAGGAAATTATCACGGCAGCGCCGTATGTGAAAAAATGAATGTGGAGCAACTGGTATACTTCCAAATGCATCCTTATATTCATTTTTAGATCTAGGAGCAGCTAGAGGTGGGGATGAACTTGATTGCCATCTCCTGTGAGTCTACTGGTGACCCTTCTCCTCTCCTCTGGCTGCTGGCCGGGGTGGCTGCTTGTCCCCGAGCCCGCTCTTCCCCCTCCAACACCCCCCAGCTCCTGCCAAGGCAGCCCAGCCCTCCCCTGGAGCAGCACCCTAATTCTGGGGGGAGCCGCCGTGACTGTCCCCCTAAACCACGGAAAATGATGAGTCCCTGAGGAGAGAGATAATTAGAGAAGAGTATCTTCTTAATTAGCATGGTGAGAATCGGAAGGGCCCCATGAAAGTTTAACGAGTGGTGGTTAAACGCTCTGCTTCCACCCGGAAGGGTAAAAAGGAAAATAGGGAGGTTTGTTCAAAACCTGGAACGGTTGCTGGAGAAAAAAAGTAAATACAGAAAAATAAACCAGCTTAGCAAATACAAATGGAACGTGAACATGAGGGGATTCTGTAGCGCATTCAAGTTTTAGTTAAAGAAAATCACAGAAACTTGCTAAATGTTCTCACGTCAGCTTATGGTGAGCCGCACAAGTGGTGCTGAGCAGAATGGGGCAGGGCCCTTGACTAGTTAATCAACATTTTTTCCTGTTTCCCTGCATAAAAAAAAAAAAAAAAAATGATTCATCTCATCTTAGTATAACCTTGGTAACAAAAAACCTTTCCTTCTTTGATATCATATTGCTCCTTTAAGCCTCTGTTGCATTACACACACAGACATCCCTGCTACAACATTCGTCTTCAGATCCCCACCTGCTAAACAGTGTTCAAAACCCTGCTGGTTAGGAAAATCTAGTTAATATTAGAAAAAAGTACACTACCAGCCATCTGCATACTTTTCATAATTTTCTTTGCACTTAGTGAGGTAACATTTGTAGCCAGCATACTCTTAATTACAATGTTAATAAAATTTTGTAATTATTTATGGGTAATATTTGTACTGTAGGTGTTTTTAATATAGTCTATTAACTGTTTAGCAATCGCTAACAACATGATTAAATTTTAATCTTAAGTTGATTTTTAATCTTTACTTGGATTCTGAGACCATTGTCATCTTTTGCAACATACCACTCCAAGCAATACATTGAAAAAAGGTATCTAATTCTCTCAAAAATCAATTTCAATTTTAACTGTAGGAGTAATTGCAAACCTACGTTTATATAGCAAGTACTGCAAGGGCAACACAGGGGGTTTGCCATTGCCCAGGGCAATTATTAGCTATTTATTCACTGAAATAGTGTCAAGGTCTATACCAAACGCATTTCACATCCTTCCTTACTTGCAAAGCTCAGAAATGAAGTAGTCACAGAGTGACTGAGATAATTACTCCACATCATACTAAAGAAGCGCATTTAATGCACATTGTAAGCAGTGTAATACAATTAATTTCTCTCCTGCCCAAAAGCAGAGGTGATGGATTCATTCTTTCTTTTCAAACCAGGTACCTTGAGGCACGTGGGAATTTAGCATTCCCAAAGTGAAATGATGGGACCTGAAAGCCTGTTGTAAGGGAAGCCAGATCCAGCTCCCATCCTGGAGGACTAATAATTCAGCTCCATTAAAAGAAAAGAAAAAAAACAAACAAACCAACCAACCAACCAAACCACCAAAGCAGCTGATTCTGCTTTGGAAACAATGCATCATTATTCAGAAAATAGGTTTTGTATTAAAAGCAAGTGACCACGCAACTCCAAACTTTAAAGTTCCTTCTAATTCCTGTAGAATACAGTTCTGAAGGAAAAGTTGAAGAGGCACATGAATGCTTGGAATGTACTTATTTTCTTAAATTATCTTTACAATAAAATAATAAATGTTCAAATGGCCCTTTAACAGATCCGGGAAGGGAAATTTTAATATCAAATAGTCCCCACAAGTAATACTAACACTGAAAAATTTCAGAATAAGAAGAGAATTCCCTGCAGGAGAGACAACGCAAGCCATTTCTTTTCTCCCTCAAGGGTAAAACATCATATTTTAAACAGTCCTGTCCATTTTCTTCCAGGGAAATCTCTGCACTGGAAATATTAAGCTCCTTATGTCTACCGAGAAAAACTAAGAGAAATCAAAACTACACTAAGTTAAGGGATATTTCAGTATAATGTCCCTATTACCACGATCAGGAACAGATGATAAAGCATAAGTTGCATTTATTTTTCATTAACATTTTCCTTACGTGGCCTTGAAAGACTACACAGCTAAACAAATAAATGGATAAATAATGAAAAAAAAAAAAAAAAAAACAAAAAACAAAACAACCCAGCAACAAAACCACTCAAAAGCATTAGAATGAACTTCTCACTACATTTTGGCTTTCACAACATTTTCATAGGATTTACTTTGTCAAAAAGGGTTTAAGTCCCTCACAATCACCAGACAATTTGCAAGGATATAAAACCGAAGTTTTCTGTTTGCTTACAACATGTATTCTCTATGTATTAGCAACAAATAAAGAAATAAAAATCAGTTCTTACAATTTCTAGAAGCCACGAATGAAATTATCACCACTTTTGGTCTCACAAGATAAAAATCCACCTTTAAAACGCCCCAAATTTCTAATTTTTGGTAACTGCTGTCAAGAGTACTGGCTGCCACTGAGGTCGCAGCAGGAGGAGCTACCTCGTTACTAAATGTGAAACACGACATGTCTGCGAAGAAGTTTGCTCGCTTCAGCAAAATATTATGAAGGATATTATGACGACGCAACATGGACACGGCAGAGGATCCCCCGGCATTTCTTGTTCTGAGGAATATTTCTGTTGTATGACACACAATGACCCCGCAGCGCGGAGCTCGCCGCTGGGCACCGGTCAGCGCGCACCAGCGCAGGTTCCCGGTCGCGTCACCGCGCAGGTCGGAGCTCAAGACCCAACGTCAAATACGCCAGAACCCGGCGCGGGGCTCGCTTCTGCCTGGAGGGACTTGGCTCCCCGGGGGGGCAGAACACCCCGTTTCTGCTGAGGGGCTTTTCCGGGTGCTGCGGAGAGC